CAATTTTTCGGACCGTTAAAAATATTTCTAATTGAATATATCCCAGTCAAACGGAAATAAACAATTGAAGTCATCGTGTTGAAACCGCTGAATTACCAAAACACGTTTTTTTCTCTTTAACTTTCAAAGTCAACAAAATTTAGACGACGTTAATCTGAGCTAAATACGCCGTACGTCGTGTAAGGAGAAAAATTGTGTCCGTCAGTAGCTTACATGAAGTAAACATGTTACTTAGCTTACCTGAAGTAAGGCTGTCCTTACATAGTAAAGATGTCAGGCTTTTATCCAGTGGCGTCACAAGGGGGGGGGTGGCAGGGGGACGTTCCGCACCGGGTAATACAATTTACGGGGTGACTCTACTTTTGAAACAAGAGGGGTGACACCTAACTGAAAATGCACATATTTTTGGATGGGAGGGAGGGGGGGTGACACTTGGAGTCATTGGCGACACCCGACTTAGTGAAGCCTCTGCTTGTAACACGCAGAGAGGGAGGGGCTGCGACGCCCACCTTTTGTCATCAACACCTACTACAGATATAAACACGACTATTTAAAATGTAGTGACGAGCTATCAAATAAAATGGTGGTGATCATCTGATAGTTGGTGTCTTCAGTACTTAGTTCAGTATTATACACGGGAGATATTGAATACATCTTTTAATAACGTCATCTTTTTAAAACCATCTCAGCATTTTATTTTAAAACCATCTCAGCATTTTATTTTCACTGTTAAAATAAAAGCACCGTCGTTGCGTGATGCTGGCATTAAGCTAGCGTCGGTAGGGGAGCTAATGGTTAACACAAGAGACGCATATGAAAAAATGATGTTGCAAGTTTTCGATTAGCGATTTGGAGTGATCAAGAAAAAGGAACAATTAATCGATGGACTAGAAAATTGTGTAATTGCTCTTGACAAAATTCTAGTGCAACTAACAGAAATTTGCTTCTTGTTGCTCCATTGATCGCACATGTCTTTTAATCTTGCCTTGTTCACGGCAGAATAGCAAACTGGGGGGTGCGGCGACAATAGAGGACCCCGACCAATCACTGGCTTTCCCTGCTCGAGTAAACTGACATTTGACCTGTGACGTCACATGACCCGGTTGGCCACTTGACTGATGTAGTCAGTGTGGACTTGAGTCATGCCAAAAGTGACTAAACACAACATATGCACAAAGTGACTAAACACACCATATGCCCAAAGTGACTAAAAACAACACATGCCCAAAGTGACTAAACACAACATATGCCCAAAGTGACTAAACACAACATATGCCCAAAGTGACTAAACACAACATATGCCCAAAGTGACTAAACACACCATATGCCCAAAGTGACTAAACACACCATATGCCCAAAGTGACTAAACACAACATATGCCCAAAGTGACTAAACACAACATATGCCCAAAGTGACTAAACACAACATATGCCCAAAGTGACTAAACACACCATATGCCCAAAGTGACTAAACACAACATATGCCCAAAGTGACTAAACACAACATATGCCCAAAGTGACTAAACACAACATATGCCCAAAGTGACTAAACACAGCATATGCCCATAGTGACTAAACACAACATATGCCCATAGTGACTAAACACAACATATGCCCACAGTGACTAAACACAACATATGCCCACAGTGACTAAACACAACATATGCCCACAGTGACTAAACACTTTCCCACATTGAGCACCCAATCCAATGCCAACCGTCCATCAACCTGTCGCAGCTAATTAAGTCTGGATTCCATCCTTTAACTGACAACTAGATTCGGGCCAACCAACAAGACCTAGACTCGGGCCATCCAACAGATCTAGACTCGGGTCATCCAACATATCTAGACACGGGCCATCCAACAAGATCTAGATTCGGGCCAACCAACAAGATCTAGACTCGGGCCATCCAACAAGATCTAGACTCGGGCCATCCAACAAGATCTAGACTCGGGCCATCCAACATATCTAGACACGGGCCATCCAACAAGATCTAGATTCGGGCCAACCAACAAGATCTAGAATCGGGCCATCCAACAGATCTAGACTCGGGTCATCCAACAAGATCTAAACTCGGGCCAACCAACCAAACCTAGACTCGGGCCATCCAACAAGATCTAGACTCGGGCCATCCAACAGATCTAGTCTCGGGCCATCCAACAAGACCTAGACTCGACCATCCAACAAGATCTAGACTCGGGCCATCCAGCAAGATCTAGACTCGGGCCATCCAGCAAGATCTAGACTCGGGTCATCCAACAAGATCTAGACTCGAGCCATCCAACATATCTAGACACGGGCCATCCAACAAGATCTAGACTCGGGCCATCCAACAAGATCTTAACTCGGGCCATCCAACAAGATCTAGACTCGGGCCATCCAAAAAGATCTTAACTCGGGCCATCCAACAAGATCTAGACTCGGGCCATCCAACAAGATCTAGACTCGGGCCATCCAACAAGATCTAGACTCGGGCCATCCAGCAAGATCTAGACTCGGGCCATCCAACAAGATCTAGACTCGGGCCATCCAACAAGATCTAGACTCGGGCCATCCAGCAAGATCTAGACTCGGGCCATCCAGCAAGATCTAGACTCGGGCCATCCAGCAAGATCTAGACTCGGGCCATCCAACAGATCTAGACTCGGGCCATCCAACAGATCTAGAGTCGGGCCATCCAACAAGATCTAGACTCGGGCCATCCAACCATTTGTTTTAGAAAGTGTTGACAAGTACACGAGCACAAGATCCCCTACGACCATTGACTGTCACAAGATCCCCTACGACCATTGACTGTCACAAGATCCCCAACGACCATTGACTGTCACAAGATCCATTGCTACCATTGACTGTCACAAGATCCCCTACGACCATTGACTGTCACAAGATCCCCTACGACCATTGACTGTCACAAGATCCCCTACGACCATTGACTGTCACAAGATCCCTACGACCATTGACTGTCACAAGATCCCCTACGACCATTGACTGTCACAAGATCCATTGTGACCATTGACTGTCACAAGATCCCCTACGACCATTGACTGTCACAAGATCCATTGTGACCATTGACTGTCACAAGAACCCCTACGACCATTGACTGTCACAAGAACCCCTACGACTATTGACTGTCACAAGATCCCTACGACCATTGACTGTCACAAGATCCCCTACGACCATTGACTGTCACAAGATCCATCGCGACCATTGACTGTCACAAGATCCCCTACGACCATTGACTGTCACAAGATCCATTGCGACCATCGACCATGCGTTACTTTTCTGACTAAATCTGCTCCAAATATCCCTACCGCGCCTCTATGCCACGTGTTTAAAGACGAAATCGGTTTCCATAGCAACAAGACATTAGAAAGTGAGAAACGGAACCACGCCCTTAATTCTGCTTGCATTACACTTTCCTGAACTAATTATTGCAAACATAATTGTGTCAAAATGCATTGACTTATTAAATCGATCGTTTGTGCATTCAAATCCCAAAATAAAAATGCGAGCTGTGAGAATCTTGACAACTTTTAATGAGCTAAGTCTTCATCACATCAATTCAATGAGCTAAGTCGGTCTCGTGTTCATCATATCAGCTCAATGAGCTAAGTAGTCTAACTGTCTCGTCTTCATCATATCAACTCAATGAGCTTAGTCTGTCTCGTCTTCATATCAACTCAATGAGCTTAGTCTAACTGTCTTGTCTTCATCATATCAACTCAATGAGCTTAGTCTAACTGTATTGTCTTCATCATATCAACTCAATGAGCTTAGTCTAACTGTCTTGTCTTCATATCAACTCAATGAGCTTACAAATCAGCCTTTGAGTTTGGCAGCATGATCAATGAGCCATCAAACATCTACACCATAGAGCCATCTTAACGCGCCTCCAGATTTCAGCTCAATAGAACATCATCACCTCACGGTCTACATGCCGGCAAAGACTAATAGGCCGGCTTCCAAATGCCGGCAGAGAACAATAGACCGGCTTCCAAGTGCCGGCAGAGAACAATAGACAGACTTCGACAGTTCTCCCTGTCGGCATCGTCTTGTGGTAACTTGGTCTCGCGCTGACATAATTACAGACAATTAACAAGCGTTAAATAGATTTTAATTGGCAAGGTTCGGGATGACAGGCCAATACAACTATTTTAAGCCTCGAGTTTTGTTTTTCTTTGCTGTCGCATGCAGAGACATAATGGTGGGTGGGAAGTTTGATCTTAATTGTTGGTTCTACTGAGGGGAAGTTTGATGGTTTTTGTTGATTCCTACTGATGGGAATTTTGATCTTGTTGGTTGTACTGATGGGAATTTTATGGTTTTTTTGTTGATTCTACTGGTGGGAATTTTGATCTTTCTTGTTGGTTCTACTGATGGTAATTTTGATCTTTCTTGTTGGTTCTACTGATGGTAATTTTGATCTTTCTTGTTGGTGCTACTGATGGTAATTTTGATCTTTCTTGTTGGTTCTACTGAGGGGAAGTTTGATATTTTTTTTTTTTTATACTGATGGGAAATTTAGAAATTTTGATACTTAACTTTTTTTGTAAATGGTTTTTCTACAAAATCAGTCCACTTCTCTAAATATTACAGTGTAAAATTTGTTTCTTGTAAACAACGGGTCTGTAGAGAGTACACAAATATTTCAGCTGTAACTTCTGTATTCACATATTCCAATGGTTCCTAAAACATTTGGTTACAAACTTTCTTTAAGGCACACCTTCCCTGTAATTAGAGCGCCGTTACTAAAATTGTACTTGATGTTGCAGGAAGTCTTTTGGTGGAACTCCCCTAGCCCGTTACTAAGATTGTACTTGATGTTGCAGGAAGTCTTTTGGTGGAACTCCCCTAGCCCGTTACTAAGATTGTACTTGATGTTGCAGGAAGTCTTTTGGTGGAACTCCCCTAGCCCGTTACTAAGATTGTACTTGATGTTGCAGGAAGTCTTTTGGTGGAACTCCCCTAGCCCGTTACTAAGATTGTACTTGATGTTTCAGGAACCTCAGTCTTTTGGTGGAACTCCCCTAGCAATGCTGGCAGCACAGTGCAACAAAATCTCCAGCAGGGCGCCCAGCGGTGACGTCAGCAAGTCCTTCATGCCGTGGAGAAAGCACCCCGCAGGCGTGGCTTCCCCTGGCCACCTCCACCACCACATCGCCTCCCAGAGGATCGGGGCTCTCAACCACTCCCCCCTCACCATGTCCAACAACCTGTCCTACCCCCCCTCCACCGTGGGCTCGTCCAACACGACGTCCTACCACAACGAACTCTTCTACTCCTGCCCGGGGTCAGTGACCCACGTCCCGACCCAGCCTGCAGAACTCTCCCAGTCAGCGTTGTTCCAGAAAATGCACTCAGACAACGGCCTGGCCAACCCGGGCTTTGGGGCCATGTACTCACGCGTGCCTTCTGTTTCAGGTGCCTACGACTCGCCCTGGCCATTTTCTAACATTCCAAGCACACATTCGGGGCCAACACACGCCGTCAAACACAACGGACTAACCCATTCTTCCAACGCAGGGGGGACAGCGTGGTGGGAAGTTCATCCAGCATCCAACATGCATCCAGCCGGTAACAACTGGCTGTCAGACACGACCTCGCTGCACGGTCAGCTGGCGGCGTCCTACCCGGCCCCGGACTATCATATCGGTCACTCTCTGGCCTCCACCCCCGGGCTGCTGACGTCACAGCAACACCTGCTCCAGGACACGTACAAGTCCATGCTACAGCCGGCAGAGGGCAGCCCGAGCTTCATGCCCCGACCCTCGGGCCTGCCCAGCCCCAGGGGTTCTCGCCGCTACACGGGACGGGCCACATGTGACTGTCCCAACTGTCACGAGATAGACAGGTTAGGTGAGTACAACCTCAACACAACCTCAACACAACCTCAACACAAGCTCAACACAATACAACCTCAACACAACACAACCTCAACACAACACAACCTCAACACAACACAACCTCAACACAACACAGCCTCAACACAACACAACCTCAACACAACACAACCTCAACACAACACAACCTCAACACAACACAACCTCAACACAACACAACCTCAACACAACACAACCTCAACACAACACAACCTCAACACAACCTCAACACAAGCTCAACACAATACAACCTCAACACAACACAACCTCAACACAACACAACCTCAACACAACACAACCTCAACACAACACAGCCTCAACACAACACAACCTCAACACAACACAACCTCAACACAACACAACCTCAACACAACACAACCTCAACACAACACAACCTCAACACAACACAACCTCAACACAACACAACCTCAACACAACACAACCTCAACACAACACAACCTCAACACAACACAACCTCAACACAACACAATCAACACATCACAATCAACACGTTAGGTGAGTACAAACTTAACACAACACAATCAACACGTTAGGTGAGTACAACCTCAACACAACACAATCAACAGGTTAGGTGAGTACAACCTCAACACAACACAACCTCAACACAACACAATCAACAGGTTAGGTGAGTACAACCTCAACACAACACAACCTCAACACAACACAACCTCAACACAACACAATCAACACGTTAGGTGAGTACAACCTCAACACAACACAACCTCAACACAACACAATCAACACGTTAGGTGAGTACAACCTCAACACAACACAATCAACACAACACAATCAACACGTTAGGTGAATACAACCTCAACACAACACAACCTCAACACAACACAATCAACACAACACAACCTCAACACAACACAATCAACACAACACAATCAACATGTTAGGTGAGTACAACCTCAACACAACACAATCAACACAACACAATCAACACAACACAATCAACACAACACAATCAACACTTTAGGTTAGTACAACCTCAACACATCACAATCAACAGGTTAGGTGAGTACAACCTCAACACAACACAATCAACACAACACAATCAACACGTTAGGTGAGTACAACCTCAACACAACACAACCTCAATACAACACAACCTCAACACAACACAATCCACACGTTAGGTGAGTACAACCTCAACACAACACAATCAACACGTTAGGTGAGTACAACCTCAACACAACACAACCTCAACACAACACAACCTCAACACAACACAATCAACACGTTAGGTGAGTACAACCTCAACACAACACAACCTCAACACGTTAGGTGAGTACAACCTCAACACAACACAATCAACACAACACAATCAACACGTTAGGTGAGTACAACCTCAACACAACACAATCAACACGTTAGGTGAGTACAACCTCAACACAACACAACCTCAACACAACACAATCAACACGTCACAATCAACACGTCACTGTATTATGTCAACACATATCACAATCAACATTTCACATACGACCTCAACACATATCACAATCAACATTTCACATACGACCTCAACACATATCACAATCAACATTTCACATACGACCTCAACACATATCACAATCAACATTTCACATACGACCTCAACACATATCACAATTTACACATAACTGTATGACGTCAACACATATCACAATCAACATTTCACATACGACCTCAACACATAGCACAATCTACACGTAGCTGTATGACGTCAACACATATCACAATCAACACGTCGCTGTATGACGTCAACAAGCACATATCACGTGACATACACCTCTCCCCTGATTCTTGACGTTGTATGTGTTCTCACCTGTCCCCAGGACCTGCCGGGGAACACCTGAGAAAACGGAACATCCACAGCTGCCACATCCCGGGCTGTGGGAAAGTCTACAACAAAACCTCCCACCTCAAGGCACATCTACGCTGGCACACGGGCGAGAGGCCGTTCGTCTGTAACTGGCTCTTCTGTGCCAAAAGGTAGGGATACCAGCTGGCCGGTCTGGCAGGGGGCTTGATAGATAGATAGATAGATAGATAGGATCTAAGCCTAGAGTTGTTTGTGTGTATGTTACAGAATGTGTGAAAGTTGTATTCTCATCTATTTTTAGGTTGTATCTTTATCTATTTTTAGGTTGTATCTTTATCTATTTTTAGGCTGTATCTTTATCTATTTTAAGGTTGTATTTTAATCTATTTTTAGGTTGTATCTTGATTTTAAGGTTGAATCTTTATCTATTTTTAGGTTCACGCGCTCCGATGAATTACAGCGCCATCTTAGAACTCACACAGGCGAGAAACGTTTTGCTTGTCCTAAATGTAACAAACGGTAATCAGCCTTCAGTTCTTGAACCATGTAGCAGACTAGAGCAGACATGCGCAGAACTTATGTTCTATGTTGGGACTTAATGTTCTGTGTCTAAAGCTGGGACTTAATGTTCTATGTCTAATCCTGGAACTTAATGTTCTATGTCTAATGCTGGAACTTAATGTTCTATGTCTAATCCTGGAACTTAATGTTCTATGTCTAAGGCTGGAACTTAATGTTCTATGTCTAATCCTGGAACTTAATGTTCTATGTCTAAGGCTGGGACTTTATGTTCTATGTCTAATCCTGGAACTTAATGTTCTATGTCTAAGGCTGGAACTTAATGTTCTATGTCTAATGCTGGGACTTTATGTTCTATGTCTAATCCTGGAACTTAATGTTCTATGTCTAATGCTGGAACGTCTCTGTCCCCAGATTTATGAGAAGTGACCATCTTAGCAAACATGTCAAGACGCATGCGCAGAACGAAAAGAAAGCCGGAGAAGACAGCAGCGATGAAATAAGCGACAAGAAACATGACACATGAGACGTCACGTCACGTGACGTCACGACACACGAGACGTAAATACAAGAGAAAGTCACGTTCCTCAAGAATGACGTACTCTTTAATTGTTGTCCTTGTTTGGACACTGCCTTAAAATACCAAGCCTTGCCTTGGTTGTGTGTTATAAGAGATGAACAACTCGTCAATTCTTGGCTGGACAACTGGTCAATTCTTGGCTGAACGACTGGTCAATTCTTGGCTGAACATCTGGTCAATTCTTGGCTGGACAACTGTACATGTCTTGGCTGAACGACTGGTCAATTCTTGGCTGAACATCTGGTCAATTCTTGGCTGGACAACTGTACATGTCTTGGCTGAACGACTGGTCAATTCTTGGCTGAACGACTGGTCGATTCTTGGCTGAACAACTGGTCAATTCTTGGCTATACAACTGGCCAATTATTGGTTGAACAGCTGATCAATTCTTGGCTAGACAACTATTCAATTCTTGGCTTAACATCTGGTCAATTCTTGGCTGGACAACTGGTCAATTCTTGGCTGAACAACTATTCAATTCTTGGCTGGACAACTGGTCAATTCTTGGCTGGACAACTGGTCAATTCTTGGCTGGACAACTGGTCAATTCTTGGCTGGACAACTGGTCAATTCTTTGCTGAGATTCCATAGATGGACAACTGTGTATCACTGAGATGGACAACTCAGTTTGTTAAAGTACAAGTTTAACAAAGTGTAAATTTGATAAAGTACAAGTTTAACAAAGTGTAAATTTGACAAAGTACAAGTTTAACAAAGTGACAATTTGACAACTGGTGTGTTAGCATGTTGCCGATTCTGAAAAGGATTACATCAACTCGCTAAAGCAATCCACCCCCCCCCCTTACCGTGTGATGACCTCATTGTTATGCAACATTTCATCTAATTAAACAATTATACATGAACATGAACGCTGTATCCTTCTTTGTTTTTCTATATCATTAACGCCACTAGTAGCTAATTGTTTTTTAATTACTGAATGCTGATTTTAAAAAGCTGAATGCTGATTTTAAAATGCTCAATTCTGATTTTAAAAACTGAATACCAATTTTAAAATACTGCATACTGATTTTCACATGTGGGTGCTAATTTTCAAATACGGAATATCAATTTCAAAGACTCGTACTAAATACAATTTTCAAAATAATAATTCTAAATGCTGATCTTAAAATACTGAAATCCCCGGGAAATCACTTAAAATTTGAAAGTATCAAGATAATAAGTTCTTATACCCATTTATAAAATTCATTCTACCTAACTGAAATTCTACTCATTGAAATTGTCGGTATTATAAAAACTAAAAATAGAGTAAAGTACCACTTCCGTTTATAGGAAGTCACTCAAAAAGGGGAAGTAATCAAAGTCTATGTGAAATGTCTTCCTCACTGAAACAATACTCAGATTAGAGAGAGTACCCCCAGGAAAATACAGTAAATACCACTCCCGGTTACCGAAAATCGTTGATACAGACTTGCGCATACAATGTAATAATTCCATGAAATATTTCCTCCTCCAAACTGAAACGGTGCTCAAGTTATTGGTTATTGGGAAACCGGACATTAATTAAGTACCGCTTACGGTTACTGGAAATCCCTTAATAAAATTTGATTTACTACGTCTAGATTTATATAAAATGCCATCAACATAACTGAAACGGTACTCAAGGTATCGTGTTCAAGACGTACAGACAAAATTGCAAAACTAATTTTTTTTTCTACTCAGAGAGGTGTAAAACGTCGAGATTTGTAAAAATCCCAAATTCTATTTTTTGCACGATTACAATAGATCTACTTCCTCTATACTCTGTACACGAGAAAGTAGTAGAGTGGGAGCAGGACATTAACCCTCCTCCTGTCTATTAACCATCCCCCCCCCCCCCGCCCTCATAACCTCCCAGATCAATTACCCCCCGTCAATTACTCCCCCCCCCCACCCCCCTCGTGCATGATTTCTGTCCAAAATACTGCAATGTGAATAAGATATTATCTACTGTCAATAAACTCACGGTCATAAACGGATAGATGCAGATAGGGATAGGTTAAGGATTAGCTTGGTGTTGGTTTAAGGTTAGGGAATTGGGTTAAGATTAGGATTAAGCCGAGGTTCGTAGTTAGGTCTAGAGATGGGCTGAGGGTAAGGACTTGTTCAGGTTAGGGATAGGTTCAAAGATATTGAGATTATTTAGGGTTATTGAACTGTAGAAAGGGCACGGTAAGAACTTAAATGATCGGGTCGCTTTCAGCCATATGTGACGATGTTGTATATATCATTAGTTTTGTATTCATAAATCTTGTAATGCAAAGTCTATTTTTTCTCGAGATAAAATTAGCCTGTGACTCAACTGTTGGCTATTATTAACCTGTAACTACATCTAGTTAACGGGTTTAGGATTAGCCTGTAGGTCTAGTCCATAGATGGGTAGAACTAACATGTGGCTCTAATCTATAGATTGGCAGAATTAACCTGTGGTTGTATCTAGTCTATAGAATACTATAGATGTAGTTGTAGACTCTGGAATATTCTGATGAGATGGGGAAGGTGATGTTGATGAGATGGGGAGGGTGATGAGATGGGGAGGGTGAAGTTGATGAGATGGGGAGGGTGATGTTGATGAGATGGGGAAGGTGATGTTGATGAGATGGGGAGGGTGATGTTGATGAGATGGGGAGGGTGATGTTGATGAGATGGGGAGGGTGATGTTGATGAGATGGGGAGGGAGATGGGGAGGGTGATGTTGATGAGATGGGGAGGGTGATGTTGATGAGATGGGGAGGGAGATGGGGAGGGTGATGTTGATGAGATGGGGAAGGTGATGTTGATGAGATGGGGAGGGTGATGTTGATGAGATGGGGAGGGTGATGTTGATGTGATGGGGAGGGTGATGTTGATGAGATGGGGAGGGTGATGTTGATGAGATGGGGAGGGAGATGGGTAGGGTGATGTTGATGAGATTGGGAGGGTGATGTTGATGAGGTGGGGAGAGAGATGGGGAGGGTGATGTTGATGAGATGGGGAGGGAGATGGGGAAGGTGATGTTGATGAGATGGGGAGGGAGATGTTGATGAGATGGGGAGGGTGATGTTGATGAGATGGGGAGGGTGATGTTGATGAGATGGGGAGGGTGATGTTGATGAGATGGGTAGGGTGATGTGGATGAGATGGGGAGGCAGATGGGGAGGGTGATGTTGATGAGATTGGGAGGGTGATGTTGATGAGATGGGGAGGGAGATGTTGATGAGATGGGGAGGGTGATGTTGATGTGATGGGGAGGGTGATGTTGATGAGATGGGGAGGGTGATGTTGATGAGATGGGGAGGGAGATGGGGAAGGTGATGTTGATGAGATGGGGAGGGAGATGTTGATGAGATGGGGAGGGTGATGTTGATGAGATGGGGAGGGTGATGTTGATGAGATGGGGAGGGTTATGTTGATGAGATGGGGAGGGTTATGTTGATGAGATGGGGAGGGAGATGGGTAGGGTGATGTTGATGAGATTGGGAGGGTGATGTTGATGAGATGGGGAGGGAGATGTTGATGAGATGGGGAGGGTAATGGGGAGGGTGATGTTGATGAGATGGGGAGGGTGATGTTGATGAGATGGGGAGGGTGATGTTGATGAGATGGGGAGGGAGATGGGTAGGGTGATGTTGATGAGATTGGGAGGGTGATGTTGATGAGATGGGGAGGGTGATGTTGATGAGATGGGGAGGGTGATGTTGATGAGATGGGGAGGGTGATGTTGATGAGGTGGGGAGAGAGATGGGGAGGGTGATGTTGATGAGATGGGGAGGGAGGGAGATGGGGAAGGTGATGTTGATGAGATGGGGAGGGTGATGTTGATGAGATGGGGAGGGTGATGTTGATGAGATGGGGAGGGTGATGTTGATGAGATGGGGAGGGTGATGTTGATGAGATGGGGAGGGTGATGTTGATGAGATGCGGAGGGTGATGTTGATGAGATGGGGAGGGTGATGTTGATGAGATGGGGAGGGTGATGTGGATGAGATGGGTAGGGTGATGTTGATGAGATGGGGAGGGTTATGTTGATGAGATGGGGAGGGAGATGGGGAGGGTGATGTTGATGAGATGGGGAGGGAGATGGGTAGGGTGATGTTGATGAGATTGGGAGGGTGATGTTGATGAGATGGGGAGGGAGATGGGTAGGGTGATGTTGATGAGATTGGGAGGGTGATGTTGATGAGATGGGGAGGGAGATGTTGATGAGATGGGGAGGGTGATGGGGAGGGTGATGTTGATGAGATGGGGAGGGTGATGTTGATGAGATGGGGAGGGTGATGTTGATGAGATGGGGAGGGAGATGGGTAGGGTGATGTTGATGAGATTGGGAGGGTGATGTTGATGAGATGGGGAGGGTGATGTTGATGAGATGGGGAGGGTGATGTTGATGAGATGGGGAGGGTGATGTTGATGAGGTGGGAAGAGAGATGGGGAGGGTGATGTTGATGAGATGGGGAGGGAGATGGGGAAGGTGATGTTGATGAGATGGGGAGGGTGATGTTGATGAGATGGGGAGGGTGATGTTGATGAGATGGGGAGGGTGATGTTGATGAGATGGGGAGGGTGATGTTGATGAGATGGGGAGGGTGATGTTGATGAGATGGGGAGGGTGATGTTGATGAGATGGGGAGAGTGATGTGGATGAGATGGGGAGGGTGATGTTGATGAGATGGGGAGGGTGATGTTGATGAGATGGGGAGGGTGATGTTGATGAGATGGGGAGGGTGATGTTGATGAGATGGGGAGGGTGATGTTGATGAGGTGGGGAGGGAGATGGGGATGAGATGGGGAGGGAGATGGGGAGGGTGATGTTGATGAGATGGGGAGGGTGATGTTGATGAGATGGGTAGGGTGATGTGGATGAGATGGGGAGGGAGATGGGGAGGGTGATGTTGATGAGATGGGGAGGGGAGGGTGATGTTGATGAGATGGGGAGGGTGATGTTGATGAGATGGGGAGGGTGATGTTGATGGGATGGGGAGGGTGATGTTGATGAGATGGGGAGGGTGATCTTGATGAGCCTGGGGAGGGTGATGTTGATGAGATGGGGAAGGAGATGGGGAGGGTGATGTTGATGAGATGGGGAAGGTGATGTTGATGAGATGGGGAGGGTGATGTTGATGAGATGGGGAGGGTGATGTTGATGAGATGGGGAGGGAGATGTTGATGAGATGGGGAGGGTGATGG